ATGTGTAGGTTTGTATAACCACCACTACAATCAAGATACAGAATTGTTCCATCACCCTAAAGAAATTCCCTGTACACACCCTCCTCAGTTATAACCTCAGGAAACCACTGACATTTTCTTCATCCCTAAAATTTTTGTATTTTGAGGATGTTTTATAAGTGGAATTACACATTATGTAAAATTTGAGATTGACTTTTTTGACTCAACATAACACCCTTGTGATTTATTCAAGTTGTTGCATGTTATCAATAGTCCATTCCCATTTATTGATGAATAGTATTCCATTGTATGGGTGTGCACCACAGTATATTTATCCAGTCAGCCAATGAAGCATGGAATTGTTGAGATCCATGATGTGTCACCTATATCACTAATTTATCCTCTTTTATCCTACGATATATAATGAAATGTAAGAACATACCACAATTTGTTTTTCTATTCACAAATCAATGGACATCTGGGGCTGTTATGGATAACACTGCCAATATATAACATCTTTATTAGAATGTTTTTCTTTTCTTTTTATTCCTTTTATTTTTTGCCCTTTTGGAGTCCAGCATACTACAGCTTAAACATTTATTTTGATTCTGTCCTTTCATCAGCTATTCTACTAGTTCCAAGTTAGATATTTATAGTACGGGAGGAGATGTATATTGAGAAGGGAAAATAAAGACCAAAGTCCCAAACCTGTAGAGCCAAAAAGTATGTGCAGTTAAAACTCTGCCAATGTAGGTAAGGAATATGAAGCCGTGAAAATGCTGTGGTAGTGGCCTTGTGATGTGCTTGTGTCTGGGGGCGGGGCTGAGTCCTGCCGAGGGTTTGTGTACAGGCTGCAGGTGCCTGGGGAGTGCTGTGGCTCCACAGCACAGAAATAAATGGCTGCGTCTGTGATCTGGGAAGAGGAAATGTACAACGAGCTGTGGCGTTCTTTAGTGACTGTTGTGGCAGTTAATCTTCCAATCTGCTTTGTCCCTGAGGGAATGTAAAACAGGTTGATGAGGCGTCCCCCTAGATTTTGGCGAAACCACTGCACAGTGCTCGAAGCAGCAGAAAAATTGCACCACAGCATGGAACTGGCTCCCTCGCGGAGACTCAGGTCTGGAGGACTCTGCTCCACTTTTATCCCTCTCACACCTGATCAGAAACGGAGAACAATGATAGGTGATGGGCACTGTAACACTAAAAATGCCCCTGTAGATTATGAGAAAGATAGAAAGTCTGCAAGACTTAAGAGCTTTCTTCCCTTCCTCCCTCACCCCCAACAACACTGCAACTGGTAAGTCCTTCCAGATTCCCATCCGGGGTGGCCCCAACTCACAGCAAACTTGTGCACTCAAAAGCCCCAGCAGAGTGCCCAGTAGCCTCTTCATGACTCTTTGCCTTGTTTCTCGGGGCATTTTCAAAATAAGATATAGTTAACTAAACCCTGGAGTGGTGGGTGTAATGATTTGGTTCTGGAACTGGTCCTGCTCCTGCAACCAATCAGCTCCACCCAACAAACCCTGCTCCCGCCCAGACACTACTCAGTTATTTAATAGCACTCTGACAGGAAGCCCCTCCCACCAGCTCAAACTTGGATGAGAATGGGGTGGAAAGTGGTGGAGTGAGAAGGATAAAAGAAAAGTCATTATTCTATAACCAGAGGGACATTTTCTGATAATCCTGGATATAGTAAAGAGTGTGAGAGGTCCTGAGAGAAGGAAGGGGAGGGCCCCTCTGCAAAGGAAGACATGCCTCAGCTATACTAATTGGAGCCTGGGGAGGATCACAGAATGACTATGCACATTTTTAACCCCTAAACAAGTGTGTGTTCCAACAAAAGGATCATTATTGACCGATGAATTACTTTAGGTGAAAGTCATATCAGTCATACAAAATGAGAACATAAATGTTATGTATTTAATAATTTGCTTAATAAGTTATTACTTATAATTACTATTAAATTTTAATTATTGGAATATACAAAATATGTCAATTAGGACTCTCCTAGAATAACAAACATTTGTAGCCAATATTGTTATAAGAAATGACTCTAATAAGATTGCATATTGTAAGGGGGGGAAAAATGGGATCAGTTCAAACATCTTTTCTACATATTAGCCTGGCTGGAAAATATGTTTTGTTTTTCTAATTCTTATCCCACACAAACATCCTGTGGCTTATTCTTACAGTTCAGTAAATCTTGCTTTCTTCGTAATTCCTCTGTCTTCCTCTTTTTCTCACACTTTCTCCTCTCATTACATGTTTTGCTTCTGTATTCTTCCTTTTCTCTTTCCTTTTTTTTTTTTTT